TTATCATAGTACATGGTTAGTTGGTAGCAGAACATGATTGAGAATCCTGTTAACTAGGATAATGATCCTTTAATTTGAGGATCATTCTAAAATTTAGCAATCTGTAGGAGTCAAGCAGGTAAGCATGTTCAGCTGCTAACTGAAAGGCTGGTGGGTTGAACCATCCAGCCACTCTGTGGGAGAAAAATGAGGCAGTCTGTTTCCTTAAATATTTACAGCCTTGGAAACCCATGGGAACAGTTCTCTGTCCTATAGATTGCTATGAGTTGGAATCAACTTGATGGCAAAGGGTTTGGTTTGGCTTTTTGTAGAAGTCAATTTAAAAGATGTTATATGTCCCAAGAGAGAACAGGAAAAACAAAGCCAGAGGTCTATAAAACTGGATGGATGTGAATGATGGTGGTAACTTAATTGATGACATCAGCATGCCTGAAAGAGGATAAAAATCATATAAAAAGAAGGAGAATAGGATATATAGTTTAGAAAAGGGGAACCAGTGTGATTCAAGAATTTTCCATGAGGGAAGGCTACCTAACTATCTCATTTAGAAAAGATAAAACTGTAGTAGGCGCTGGTGCATCAGGGTTTCAAAGCACAATTTCCATGGTCATTAAAATCATGCAATTAATTACTTTCATCCTGATTCTATGCTTTTGAAGATGATTCTTGATTTAACATTTGAGATTTCATATTATATAATTATAGAGAGAAAGCACATTATGTAAAAGTGACCATTCTTTTGTATTTGATAATTAATTTTTAAAAATTAATAATTTGGTATTCAATTTAATAAATTCAGTTTCTTTAGAGATATAGAGAAATTCAGCTTTTCTGTTGTATCTCATGTTAAATTTCAAGGTGTCTATATTTAATCTAAATTGTTGAATTTGTTGGCATAAAATTATTTGTAATAATCTCTTATTATACACTTTGTTTATAGGATGTGTAGTGATAATCCCTCTTTATTCTTGATATTGACTGTGTTCTCTTTATCTTCATTAGTCTAGTGAAGGGTTAATCAATTTTATTTCCTTTCCAGGAATCAACTTTCATCTTTGTTCACTTTCTCTGTTTTTCTTGTTGGGTTTTTTGTTTGTTTGACTGATTGTCTTTTTTGTTTACTTATTTTGTTTTTAGTCTGTTCTCTAATTGATTTCTGCTGATACTTTTAATTTCCTTTCTTCTAATTACTTTGGGTTTGCTTTGCTCTTCTTTTTCTAAATTCTTAAAGTACTATCATCCCATCCTATTGCTATTGAGTCATCTGACTCATAGCAACCTAATAGGACATTGTAGAACTGCCCCATAGTGTTTCCAAGCCTGTAATCTTTATGGAAGCAGACTGCAATCTTTTTTGTGGAGCAGCTGGTGGGTTCAAACTACCAGCCTTTCAGTTAGCAGCCAACCATTTAACAACTGTTTTACCAGGACTCCATAAGTCCTACCATAGATCAATGAATTTAGGCATTTTTTTCCCTAATATAACCATTTAACACTATACATTTCCTTCAAACTATTGTTTTAGCTGCATCCCACAAATTTTGATATGTTGTGCTTATGTTAGCATTTGGTTTGAAATATTTTTTAATTTCTTTTGGTTTTTATCATTGGATTTTGACCAGTGGATTATTTGCATGTGTGTTATTTACTCTGTTTGTGGTTTTCCTCACTATCTTCCTATTATTGATTTCTAAATTAATCTAGTTGTTGTCAAAGAACATACTCTCTATTTTTTCCATCCTTTCAAATTTATCAAAATGGTTCATCAGTCCTGCTGCTGAATAGAGGACTAATTAGCTTTGGATACTGAAGGCAGAGATAGGTTGGGGGAAAAGCCTTCATGGTAGACTGACTTCTGGGTTTAGGATATATGTATGAATAGATGCATGGATGGGTTGATAGCTGAATAGATAGACAGACAGACAGACAGATAGATAAAGACACAGACAAGCCTCTCTGTTACTGGATCTCTATGAAAATAGAGATGGTTTGTCTTGGTGAAAATTGAAGAATTTTTGTTTTGTATTTACTTGAAGAATATGTATTCTACAGTTGTAAGGTCTAGTGTCTATAGATACCAGTTAGGTCAAGGTGGTAAATACTTAAATTATTTAAGCATTTTTTAGGTTTTGCTTACAAGTTTCTGAGAGAAGGATATTGAAATCTCCAGTTGTGATTATGGATTTTTCTATTTCCTCCCTTTAAGTCAGTCAGATTTTGTTTTGTGAATTGTCTACCATTTTATCACTTGTTTTCTGCTTTCCCCCTCTGTTTTTTTCTTCTTCTGTTTTGCTTTTCTTGCTTTCTTTCAGAGTATTTGACTATTTTTTTTTTTTTTATAATTCCATTTTAATTTATCTGTTGACCTTACAGCTATACTTCTTTCCCTTAGTATTTTAGTGGTTTTCCTAGGGAATCTCAGAAAAATAGAGGTTTTTACACTCTACTTAGAGTTGAGTGTGGTAATACTATACCATTTCATGTAAAATATAGGAATCTTGCAAGCATATAGTCCATACAAATCCCATCTTTTCATGTCATAGTTGTAATATACATTACTCCCTGAGACAATAGTTGTTGCTTTTAAACGTTCTATGCATTTTAAAGAAGCTAAGAAGAAAATAGAAATAAATTGTATTTACTCAGATATTTACTGTTTCCTGTCATCTTTGTTCCATCTTAAAGACCCATGTTTCTATTTGGCATCATTAACTATCCTGAAGAAATTTTGTTTGCATTCTCTTGACATATATGCACCTACTAAAGGGAATCAAAATATAGTTGGTATCCAGCCGAGGTTTGAAGGAACTCACTGCTTTATAGGGTAAATACTATTGCTGAATAGCTATAATTCAGGTGATGATACTCACTGTGCCAAAGAAGTTCCTGGTATAGATCTATTGGGCAATCTCTTCTATAAAGAAAACGCCTTGGAAACCCAAGGAGGAGTCACTATGAGTCGAGATCAACTTGAAAGCAATGAGTGAGTTATTAATAGTATTTCTTTTATTCTTAAGTTTCAAGCTTTGGATGATAAATACCGTGGTCTCCATTTCATTTATAAAAATTAGGATACCGAAAATATCACCAGAGTATGAAATGCAATAGGCAAAATAAAACTTGTAATTACAGGATCAGGGAGGGGATGGCACTTGAGCTGCCATTGTAGAATGTAGAGTATCAATTATACAATGTAGACTTGTATGGTTGGTGCAAAGAATATCATGAGCAAAGTCATGACAAGAATAGCATTGGCTCATGTAAGGCATAGAAACTAGTCTAGTTGGTTTGGAATTTGGGGTTTGTATGGAGAGCAGGAGGAAATTAACTTGGACAGTTGAGCCCAAATGAGAGAGTGAGGGGTGGAATACTTGAAATGGGAAGGAAACTTGGAATGTCTTGTGAAAGCAGTGGAGAGCCAGTGAAGAATGTTTTAAGCAGAATGATATGATCAAGTTAGTACTACAAAAAGCTGGCTAGTCATATTTCAAAAGCCCTTTAAGGTTTTAGAGCATCACCAGTACATCTTTCTGTATATTTTTGCATTATACACACACACACACACACACACATATGAATGTGTCTAAGGTACTCTTATAATGAAGAATATATTATAGAAACAAGTGAAAGTAAGCTTGATTATATTTTGTTATTTTGTTTTGGTTGATAGTAATGATGATGATGATGATGATGCAGAGGAAATAAGTGCCCTACCTACAGAGTAACATTTTAGTAATTAATTTTATTGATACTGTGAGCCACCTTGACATATATTTCTAATTGTATCATTTGGAAGGAAGGATATAAGAGAAGGTTAGATCATGCTCAAATGTAATATTTCCTACATCAATAGTAATTCAATTTTCTTGTTCCAAACCTTAGGCTATTTTGATGAATTTGCACCAAGGCACATTCAAACTATCTAGAAAACAATACAGGACAGTGTTGTGGATATAAATTTTAAGTCAAAGAAAACCTATGCTCATTGGAGCAGAAAATATTTCTGTGGATTCAGAACAATATACTCTTAATTCTTAGAGAGGAGAATTGGGAATAGGTGGGGATAATGAGTCAATGGATAAAGCTTTCTTTACACGTGTTCTTTTTGCACCACGTTCTCAACTTGTTCTACTTAATGTCAACAACTCCCAAAATCACTTTCTTTTCCTCTTCTTGCACTTTTTTAGTTTTCATCTATAGGGAAGGAGAGAAAGTGTGAGAAAATTATATGGTCTGACACTTGCAGTCCTTTACAATATGGTCACAACACACCACTTCAATTTTAATGTATGTCTATAAATTCTCTGGTCCAGCCCATCAATTTACCTCTCCTTCCATTGACTCTAATCTTATTACCCTCTTCTTCCCTACTGTTCTTTCATATGGAGCCCTTAGTGATTGTTTCTTTTCTTAATTCTTTTACTTATTCAACTCTTTTTACATTTAGCTACTACATACACTATTAACTGTAAAAAAGTATATATTATGTAACATATATATTCAAAACAGATTTAATAGTCTTAAAGGTAGGCATTTTGAATCCACCAGCAGCTCCACAGGAGAAAAATATAGCAGTCAGCTTCCATAAACGTTGTTGTTGTTATGTGCCACTGAGTCAGCCCTGACTCATAGCGACCCCTCCTTGGGTTTCCGAGGCAGTATCATTACGGAATTAGATTGCCCCATCTTCCTTCTGAGGTTACAGCCGTGGAAATCCTTATAGGGCAGTTTTAGCCTGTCCCATAGGGTCATTCACTATGAGTTGCAGTGGACTCCATGGCAATGGTTTAATGCCTTTTATATGTAAAACCATCATCTTTAAGCACTTTAAGCACAGGGATTATGTCCTAGGCTTCTTTATATTTCCAGGATCCAGCATAATTTAAATGTTGAATACATGTTTCATGAGAATATAGATGATGCTGAAAGTGATGGATTACAAATCATCTTTGGAAAATTGTGGCTAATATGTCAATTGATGATTTTCCTTTATTTTATAGGTACATTTAGAGAAGAACCGAAATGCACATACCAATCACTGATGCAAGGCTACATCTGCAAACAGACTGACCAGGTGGTTTTAATTCTTGACAATGCTGATGCCACTTGGGTGATCAAAAAATTATATCCAGTTGTATCTGTCACTGGTGGTTTTGTGGATACCTTTAGTAGTATGAATGCCCATACTGTCTGCTCTACCTCAGAGTCTGTATCTACTTTCTATTCCATTTTACCTACCAGGCAAATCACCAAGGTCTGCTTTGCGGGTGAGACTCCTCAAGTTTTGCGTTTTTCCCTTTTAGGGAATGAAAGCACCTCCAAACTTCTACTAGCTATATTCTATCATGAACTCCAGAGACCCCTTGTCTTTATAAGAGAAAGTTTCATTCCGCCTACTCTGGTTCAGTCAACTTCTTCACTGCTGGATGAGTCTGTTGGTGCTAACCACTTCACCATCATGGATAACCTCTTCTATGTTGTCCTACAAGGAAAGGAGCCTATTGAAATACGCTCAAGTGTTTCCATTCATTTGGCTTTCACTGTGATCTTTTCAGTCCTGGAAAAAGGCTGGGAAACAGTGATCCTTAAAAGACTAACTGACTTCTTACGGGTTGGCCAAGACCAAATCAGAATCATTCATGAGATGCCTGGCAATGAAGGGACCATAAGGGCCATATCTGATAATAGGGCAAAAAGAAGACGCAATTGCCCAACTGTGGCTTGTGCCACTCATTATAGAAGATTTGGTCAACGCAGACCTCTCATGATAGATATGAGCTCATATAGCATCCCATCACCAACAACTATGAAGACTATCTCAAGGGTGCTGGTCATTGAAATTGGTGATTTGCCAACAGAAAGAAACACAGAACTGATTCCACCTCTATCAAGTAACATATTACAGAAATTGGCTTACCAGGTTATTACTGCTCAACAGACGGGGTTGCTAGAGAATGTCCTGAATGTGACTGTTGGGACCTTAATGGTGACTCAGTCAAAGGGAGTCATTGGCTATGGGTAAGTACTGATTATAACAACACCTAAATGAGGACAGATTTCTTGGGCCCATGTTACAAATGTCAGTCTACTTAACAATGAATCACATAACCAATTTGCTTCTTAAGATAAGAATAAATATTTAAATAGTCACGCAGATTTAAATTCTGTTTTAAAATTCTCAATCAGATCTCCATTCTTCATGATTATTCTGTTGTTCTGTTGTTGAAGAGGTTATATTTTGATACTTCCTATGTAAAAATTACATGGGAAGAAATTTGTCTGAAGCAACAGTTTTCAGTTGATTAGTTCATTCATTCATTCACTGAATTAAAGTAGTAGGCTAGGTTTTGGGGTTGCAAAGGTGAAATAGATATGATCTTTGTCCTAAGGAACAAAAATGCTATTTATCAGAATATCATAAAGTGGGAACTAAAACCTTAACACTGAAGGTGGTGGGAATAATTCTGCTTGTAGGGACTGAAGAAGGATCTTTGAGAAAATTTTGGAGAGATGACCAGGAATTCACTAGGCTAGAGCAGTGACCCTGATTGGGTTTTACTAAATATAGGGTTATAGTGCTACCTAAAGGATACCTTCATCAAATACTGTAAGGCAGGAACATCATTGCTGCCAACTATGTTTATGGTACAGACCTATGTAGTACATATGATGTATATTATGTTATATTATCCTGACTCTCTACAAATTTATATTTTGAAGCCCTCAAAAAAATATATCTCCAGTACGCTTTTTATAAGAATACTTACCTGAGTATTTCATGTGCTTAAGAAACATAGAAGTGCATGAAGTATACAATAAGGGGATGGCAAGTGTAGATTCCTCTCACTTGCATAGATTGAGTTAGCCAAGAAGTGAATTGACTAGCCAAAATTCATCTAAGACATCAGTCACAAAATGAAACACATCAGTCACAAAATGAAGTTAAAAGTCAATGAGCCCCAAATTTTTGTAAACATTACCCAACCAAACCCATTGCCATCAGCTTGATTTCAACTTATAGTATACTATAGGACAGAGTAGAACTGCCCAAGGCTGTAGATCTTTATGGAAGCAGATTGCTGCATCTTTCTCCTATGGAATGACAGCTGAGTTTGAAACACCAATCTTTTGGTTAGTAGCCTAGCACTTTAACTACTGTGCCACTAGGTCTCCTTCCCAAAAATAATAATAATAATAATAACAAACTCATTGCTGTCAAGTCGATTCGACTCATAGTGACCCCTCCTTGGATTTCTGAGATAGTATCTTCATAGGTGTAGATTGCCCAGTCTTCCTTCCAAGGAGTGGCTGGTGGGTTTGAACCACCAGCCTTCTGGTTAGCAGTCAAATGCCTTAGGCACTATACCACCAGAGCTGATACTTTAATTTGAGAGACAAATATGAGCAGGTCATAATACTTAGGAAACAAATATGAAAGTAATCATCTCACAAATGTGTGCTCTGTTTGGTTATAGAAGACTTTGGAAGGGCAAACATGGATCATTCATATAAATTTGTCAGGATCACTGAAAAAATAAGCACAAATATATACACATTTTGAGTTGATATTGGGTCCCTGAAATAGGTAAAATTGTTTAGATTCTGGGATATTTTACTCAAGGAATTTTTAGAATGTGCATATTCTTTTAAAGTAATTATGCTGTTACTGCTTTTTCATCTTATTTATGGTGGTACTAATAAGGAAGCAATTAATATTTAATGGATAGTAATTACTTCTATTCAGTGTTCTCCAATGGATATGGTATTCACTATAACTGAAGTGAAAGACAAAACTAAAAAAGAGATGTCTTCACACTTCGGGGTATATTCAACTAATATATTGATTACCTTTTTATACACAGAGCAACTTATCTGCCACTATGTTAATTTTTTCTGCATGTTGCTGTTTAATCAGCATTAGACCTATTTATTGTCTTTGTGTGATGGTTAAGATTTAACTTTATTATGTCATTCCATCCCCTTGCTCTCTTCCCTCCTCTGTTCTCTCAAAGTAGCAAGTAACCAGTTTCCATCTTTTCACCTGTGAGCCTCATCCCCACTCTCTGAGACTCTGTAATGCCCCAAAGGCCCATACCTCTCTAGTTCAGCAGATCATTTGGTCCCTCTTGATCTTTATCCTCTTCTAAAGAAGCCCTGGTGGTGCAGTGGGTAAAGCACTTGGCTGCTAACTGAAAAGTTGGTGGTTCAAACACACCAGCCACTCCACAGGAGAAAGAGGTGACATTCTGCTTCTGTAGAGATTTACAGCCTTGGAAACCCTATGGGGCAGTTGTTCTACTCTGTCTTACAGGGCTGCTATAAGTTAGAATTGATTTAATGACAGTGGGGTAGAGGTACATGGGTTATGATTCTTGTATTTAACTAAGTCAGTTACAGGAAGCTTTGCTTTCCATCTTCCAAAACTTTGTTGGCCTCTGTTGTCAGGTATCTCCTCAGTTGTCTTTTTTGTCTGTATTGATTTACATAATTTTTATTCATGTCTATTCTTTTGCATCATGTTAGTGGAGTTTCGCTGAGTTGGAATTGACTCAATGGCAGTGGGTTTTGGTAGAGGGTGCAAAGATAGACACATGTGTTCAATCTACATTTAATAACTAGAGGTTCCCCATTGGGATCTTATTTGTACATAAATTTTTTACCTACAATTTGGCAGGACATATTTTATATTACTTCCCTTGTTTAGTAGAAACTTGATTTTTGCCCTCTTCGATGATCTATCCTCTTTTCTCTTTTCCCTCCTCTCTCCTGCTTCATTTGTCCTCATGTTGTTCTTTTTGTTAGGTGCTATCCAGTCAGTTCCAACTCAAAGAGACCCTATTACAACAGAAGGAAACACTGCCAGGTCCTGCACTATCTTCACAGTCATTGCTATGTTTGAGCCTCATCGTTGTAGCCACCGTACTGTCTCAATATGTTTTGTTGAAGGTCTTCTTCTTTTTTGCTGACCCTCTGCTTTATCAAACATGATTCCTTCTCAAAGGACTTTACTATACTGGGGGAAAAATCTTTAAACAATATTCTTTCTTGCACAATAGCATTAGAGATATGTGCATCTTTTATGGATATTTAGCTATTGAAATGCCGAAGCTATCTGTGGTGGGGCAGAATTCCTAAAAAGACCTCCCAAAGATTTGCTGCCCTAATCCCTGGAACTTTGATCACCCCGGTGATTACATTATGATATGTGGCACCATTGGCTTTAAGATCAGGAGACCATTGTAGATCATCTAGGCAGACTCAATCTAATCATGTGAACTCTTAAAAGGGAGCTATCTTCTGCTCTGGCAGAAGAGGAAATCAGAGAAATCCTAAGTTTGAGAAAGGCTGAATGTGTCATTGCTGCTTTGACGATGGAAGGGGCTACATGATAAAGAAGGTGGGTGGGCTAGAGGAGTAGAAGGTGGGCCTTGGCTGATAGCCAGCAAGGAAACAGAGCCCTCAGTTCTACGATGGCAAGGATATGAATTCTTCCAACAACCTGAGTAAGTTTGGAAGTGGAGTTTTCCTAAGAGCCTCCAGCTAAGTAGTGAACACAGCTCTGCCTATCTGGACTCCTTACCCATGGAAAGTAGGAGATAAAATGGGAGGGGGAAGCCTACTGCCATCCAGTCAATACTGACTCATAGGGACCCTATAGGACTGAGTAGAACCACCCCATAGGGTTTTCAAGGCTATAAATCTTTGTGGAAGCAGAGTACTTCATCATTCTCCCAAGGAGGGCTGGTGAGTTCAAATCGCTCACATTTTGGTTAGCAGATGAATGCCTTAACCACTGTACTACTAGAGCTCCTTAAGAGGGATGTAAGTTTGTACAGTTATAAGCCACCAAGTTTGTCGTGATTTGCTATGCAACAGTATAAAATGAATATCCTATTTCACATAAAGTCCTTTATGATATTGCCATGGACCTGCAGTTAGTTACGGGCCCTGAAAACAGTTGAAGGTGTAGCATGTCACTGTGAGTGTATATATCTCTGTGTGTGCGTGCATATGTATGCCTGTGTACACATCACATTACTGGCTTTTTACGTCTTCCTCCTTTGTGTAGGGAGCACCTTATCAAGCTGACTTGGAATAGAGATGAAAAATAGGGGAGACAGTAGGTGAAACAAGTCTATTGACATTCAGTCTCATTTAGCATTTCCTCTTCTATAATCTTTCCATACCCCCAGGCATGTGCTTTCTAGGAGGCAGCCTTTGGCATATGCAAGGACAGAATATTTCTGTCAACATGGGAAAATGTTCTTTTCAAGATAGGTTATAGCTGGCAGAGTGTTTGTTCTGGAAGAGATTCCCATGTTGTCAGCTTCTCTCTCCTCCCCATGACAAATCCCCAGCTTTACCATTAAAGAATGTTTCAACACATAAGGACCCCTTGGTAGCAAAATGGTTAAGGGTTTGACTGCTAACTGAGCAGTTGGAGATTCGAAACCACCAGCTACTCTGCAGGAGAGAAGGCCTGGCAATCTGCTCCCATAAAGATTAAAGCCTAGAAAACTCTATAAAGTAGTTCCACTCTATCCTAAAGGAGCTCTGGTGGCATAGTGCCTAAGGCATTTGACTGCTAACCAGAAGGTTGGTGGTTCTAACCCACCAGCCACTCTTTGAAAGGAAGACTGGGCAATCTACTTCCACAAAGATTTACCACCTTGGAAACCCAAAGGGGTTTACTATGAGTAAGGATTGACTTGATGGCAAAGAGTTTGGTTTGGACTCTATCCTATATAGTTGCTATGAGTCAAAATTGACTTGATAGCACACAGCACTACAATACAAATTCATTACTTTGTTGAATTAGATAGGTGGCAAAATGACCACAATATTATTTTATTTATGTGCCTTGTGGGAGAATGAGATGTTCTGCTTAAGCAAACTTTTTACAATTAAAAATTTTTCCTTTAATCACTAGCATTTTTAAAAAAACTTTAATCTTTTTTATCTTAAACAACAACAACAACAAAACAGATTATATATTATCCTGCCTTATTAAATGGATA